TTAGTCCCGTAAGTGTGGTACATGCCGATTTATCTCGGAAGGTGTCGGTGTACTTCTTCCGCTGGATAACGATATCCGGCGCCGACCTACATGTCAACTGGCCGGTTTTCCCCAACCTGGTATCTCCCACCTGCGGGGCACTGCCCCTGCCGGGACAATCTATAAGCTTCCAACTGGTGTGGTAATGTGGTGCGTGTGTAAGTAAGGTGTGAGGATACTAAAACATGGAAGGGGAAGGAAAGATCGCGCGTAGCCGTTGCCCGTTTGTTAGGGTTCTTCTCCGGCATTCGCGTGGTTTTGATCGGCGAAACCACGGAAATCTACCGATCGGAGCAGCTGGCCGATAGAAATATCCTCCAAACATCGGCTGAACTCGACCTCTAGTTAGTGTCGAAAATCCTGCGGCCATCGAGACTCAAACCCTAGAACCTCAGAGGAACAGCGGTGATATCGGTTTATACCCTGAGCCATCTAAGTCGCTAGTGCTGCTGGAATATCGCTTGCTCGCTACCGACGACTGAGACCGAAATCGTCCAACTTATTTCATCCAAAAAGCACCCATCCACGGTTTATTGTTTGAAACAACAGAAGCGCACTTAAGACTTTCCATATATTGTGACGTCATGGATACTCACAGCGACCACAGACACAGAGCTTTCATATAACAAATATATTTATTAACAAGAAAACAAAACAAATATATACACTTAATAATCACTTACACCCTAGCTCTGATAGACCTACTATCCCCTGATCGCGGGAGCGATCCAAACCCGATTGAAGGTGGTTTTGATTGTGGCATTCGACACTCCTACTTTTGAAGCGCGCACAAAGCCTAGCTTCCGTGACCGGATGTCACGCTGGGACACAAAGTCCGTTCTGGCGCACCACGGCTGGTTTGCCTCGATCGCAGGAGCGATCTTATCCGATTGAGAATCGGCGTGAATCGTGGCACTCAACCACTCTTCACTCGGAGCACGCACACAGCATCGCTCCCCCGTGATCGCAGTCACCCAAGGACCTAAAGTCCGCAGGCTTCGTCAACTAGTGACTCGAGCCTCGCGAGCCTGGCTCGCATATGCACCGTCGTGGCGCCAAGTTTTGTGCACACGCACGAGGTTCTTCCACTGTCTCCAGAACCCACCCACTGGCTCTGTACACCCTGTTATATAGACGAGCCTCACGTGACCTCCTACGTCACGCCACCCCCTCGCTTGTTATAACAGTGAAAAGTTTCTATAGACCGGATACTCCCAAAGCCTTGTGTCTCCCGTTTCCGCGTTCTTCCCTTTACGGAAAAACCCTTCTTCCTGTGGCGAGGCTAATCCTCTTCCAAGCGTCCCCAAATAGATGCCATGAGGCACACTGGCTAATACGTTACAATATGTATTGAAGATTGCCTTGACTCTCCGGCTTATTTCGGGCGAATGGAACTGACATAACTAAATGAAACATCTTAGTCCGGCGATCGATGTTTTCGGATGCCGTAGAAAGAGGTCGTGCGGGATCACGATGGACATTTCCATTTACCCACAAGTGACTGAACAAATGCGGTACTTCGGACGAAAACGCCCGACAGAAATTTCGGCCAAAATCGTGACCAGTGCAGACGATATGAAACAAACCAGTCAATGTGTTTAAGATACGTCATTCAATAATCAAACAAATAGCTGTACGGCAAAATGTTTCATTAAATTGATACAATTTTTTGTCTACCATGAAATCCTTACCGTCTTTTCTGTGCTTATCCCATCTTACGATTCTTCTTACCTTACTTTCGAAGCCAGTTATTTATTGACAGTTTTTCTTTGCCTGTTCGTTTTCGTTGAACTTGATGCAACCAAATCTCCTTTCATCGGACCAAACAGATAAAAATATGAAGGGGCATTGCAAGAGCTGTAAGGCGGATGAGGAAGAAGCTTCCATTGCACTTTGCCTATAGTTTTTAGCGTCAGTGGTGCCGTATGAGGTCAAGCTTTGTCTCGAAGCCTTTTCTCTGCAATTCCGAAAATTTTCTGATCAACTTTTTTTGGTTATTTAAAGTTACATCAACATCTAGGTCATTAGCGACAATTATTGGCTTTAAAGGTATAGTAACTGTGAAGATGACGTGATATGGTAATGATAGGGAGGGAAAGGACGAACACACACTATGCCCGAGGCGGGATTCGAACCCGCGATCCTTCGGTGCGAGATGGCTCTGACATTACTGCCTTAACGATCTCGGCCATTCGGGGACTAAAGTTCTCGATCTTGTCTAGGAAATATACGCTGTTGACCTTTGAATGTCCTTCCGTAAAATACCTTTGAATGCCTTTACCAGCGGATGGTGTTTTGAATTTCTTACGGACAGATTCTGGGTGTTTCCGCTGTACGCTTTGACGATTGGAGTCCCTCTAAAAATAATGTATGTGGTAGGTTCTATAAGTTTCTGGTCTCACCAACTTCTGTTTTTTGATAGAAAGAAAAAAAAAAACATAATTTTTCAACGTATCTATTCTTTACTCAAACTCACTTTTCACATCTATATATTACCACTTATAAGCCTTTGAAAAAATACTCCAAATTTTTATTCGCAATATGGTCAAAAACTGCTTTTTTCACCTCTCACTCGTCTGAAACTCTTCTTCCTCGAAGGTTTATCTTCAGTTTTGATCAGTGGTAGACGTTGCTGGGTGCCTAATCTGGCCTGTTGTGTAAATGGTGCAATTCCTTAAAGCTGTAGTACTTTTTTTTTATATCTGAACAGTAAGCACAGGTACAACGTTGTTGTGAAGAAACTAAACACCATGAGATTTCACGCTCCGCACCTAACTCAAGTATTACTCGCGCAAGTTTTCTTTATACACAAGCTCCCTAGTCCTCGTCCAGCGCTGAATAGCACGGCACGTTGAGATACTTGAGGTAAATTCGGAACGGCACATACCATTTGACAATGCTGGCAACAACCACCTCGAACTTTCAAAACAATCAGTTCCATTTCTCGTGGCATGCTTTGACGAGTAAAGTTCATACCCACAGTTGGTGCGCCCTTGTAAGCCGTGACGTATCCAGAGCCCTCCTTTCCCCGCACCCCCTGCTATGGAATTTCAAGGTAACTTGCGCGTGATTAGTACCAACACTCCCCGTGGAACTTCGCTTGGCACTAAAAAACGTGTTGCCGGTCTGTGTCACCTACGCTGCAGCAACGTGGCACAGTGGCAACGTGGCCACAGCACAGAAGTACAAGGATATGCTTGAGCTGGTACAGAACAAAGTTCTACGGCTCATAGCACGCCCTCCGTTTCGGAAACAGTTGAAAGTACTGAGGAAGGAACTTAATATTGAGTCCTTCACTCAATGCTTGAGGCGGCTTTCGTTTAACGAAGCCTATCAAGCCTTTCAAACCAACGAAGCTCCGGCAGCGCTAAAACAATTAGCTCGACACGTCCTCACAATAGGGCAAAGCACTCCCCTCTGATATTCTAAGGGCGTAGTGCAACACAAAAGCCGATTTATCTATTGACTAAGGTCCGACACGAACCCACACCACCCACTTATACATAGCAGTAAAACGCCAAATGCATGCAAACTGTATCACAAAGCTCACTAACATTTGCCCCCCCTAAAAAAACGTCGGTTGCGAACTTATAGCATTACAACAATGAAAGTCAAGATTATAAGCTGCTCAGGTTTTCTCATTGATGATCGGTATCTTAGGCCGGAATTTATGGAATCGCCTATGTGTATAAGCTTCATTACAGGGTAAAATCCCGTCCAAAAATCCATCACTTTCGAAATTGAAATCAATTTTGATATCGGTGAAGATATCAAAGTCTCTCGGATTTATGAGGGACGGTAAAAACTATTGGAACCTAAATTTCACAAGTCTTTCGGTGTTCAATTGGTTTTGAATGATGAAATGCGTTGGGTCAACATTTATTCACATTTTCAGCAAATTACTCAACTGTAAGTCAACGACCTTGTTACATATCGCTGCTTTGCTTTGATAGTGGCACAACTAAAATACATCGTTTTTGTGTTTTCTGTTTAAAAAAAGTACTTCCTTAGCTAAGATTTATTCCGTGAACCGGCATATTTCTGTTGTTAGGAGTGTGCCGCTAACAAGCTTTTACTTTTGTTACAATTTTACAACGTCGCTCCTGTAAAATTGGAAGTTTTTGAATTGTGCCAGTGTCAAAGAAAAGCAGCGATATGTCAATCAATATGAGATTTTAGGTCAGCACTAAGCTCAGAGTGGTTCACGTCAAAGACGCATTTACATGAAACACGACTATAAGAATATTATAGAAGAGTAAAACCTCGTCTGATTTGGCCATTTTCGTTGAAACAATTGGAGCCGTATTAGAGATAATGTGATTTCATCGTTTCTGAAATGCTCAGTTTGAAACTCATTTCACCCAAAACTTTCGCGAAACTTTGAGATTATTTCAAACAATTGCATTCACAAATGCAATAATATATACAAATTGTTGGTAATGTAAATATTTACGGCGTAAACGATATTAAACAAAATACATTTCTGCGTTTTAAAAATACAACAAAAACGAAGTGGGACATGTCATGTTATTTAGTTAATTTACCATTATCGTTTCCAAAAACTTGAAGGGAAAATTTTGAACCCTTTTCGAGAAAATGGCGTTATAACATTTCTGAAAATGAGGAATTTCGAGCTCCTTTTCACCGAAAAATTATGAGTTTTCGATTAACTTTTGTAAGACATCATTTGAAGCACTCTTTCACTGTTGACTTCGAAAATTGCGATTTTTTTCCCCGGTGTTTTCCTACAACTACATAATTAAAGATCCCAGATTTTTCCTTCCAATGAAATCTGTTCTCCATAATTAGTTCTTTCATTAAGAATATAAACACTTTTGGTAGGGATAGTGGTAAATGTACTGTATAAGGTGACACAAACATGATTTTGTTTTGTTTTTCATAAATTACACAATTATTTTTTTTACATCTCTCTCATGTCACTTATATTTACATTACCAGCGATTTGTATACACTATTACATTTGTTAAAAAAAGACTTCAAAAGATGTCTCATGTTTCATTATTATTATATTTGTTCTCACGAAAAAAAATATATATAGGAATATTTTGGTTCTATTAGAAAACTGAAAAAATTGAGAAAATTATGAAAATAATGTACATTGGGGGTTTCTTCAGAAATTCACTTTTCTGGGACTAAAATTTTGGAATTCTGGTTTTTAAAATTAAAATTTATAAAGTGAGGGTCTCTTGAAACATCAGGATTTAAATAACACTCATAAGTTCATGTAAAATGTATTCCCAAGAGTCCAAAACGTACAAAAATATAAAATGTATTTATATATCATATCACAATATTTCCATACACCTTCATATATTGAAATACAAATACGAACACTCTAGAATACACATACACAGTAAATATATTCCATTTCGATGATTGCATCAGCCTTAATGATATTAATACTTTCATTTTATACAAAACTGTGGAAGATATGCTTTGATTATTGCACATAACATATGGTTGAGCTAACTTAAATTATAGGCCTGGAATATCTAGTGACAATGGTTTAGCTTTGCCCTTAGACTAGGACTTTGTAAAAGATTTCAGTACATCCTACTTTTTTTTAATTAAATTAAAAACCTTATTTAAAAAATACAATTCCTTTAAAACATGACATAGAGAGTTCATATAATTATAAATCTAGGTACATATATTTATATATCTATCTAAAAGGAAACATTTTAAAATTCAAGAAAATGCAACAATAATAAGTTAAAAATAGAATATCGATCATAATATAACACCGACAACTTTGAAATACTGTCAAGTTGCTTCAGTAAAGATACTACAAGAATACAGTAAGACATTTATGGACATTTATGAGCTATCACATTATGAGTTTAGAAAGGATGGAAATAGCAATGCACTAGCTAAATGTATACATGTACAAAATTTTCAGAAAAAATGCAGAAAATGATATAGTTATCATTATTAGGCCATGGTAGAGTAAATGAAAGCTGCAGTTGAAGTTAACCAAACACAAACCATGACAATAATCATTCTGATCATTATTTGTGTCAACTGCCATGTGTCATTCAATAATTTTTGTTCTTCTATTACAGAAATTCACATTCATAAGAAATACTTATGATATTTTATGTGAATAGAATTTCATTAAATAACAATTTTCTCCTGTGATAGGAGCCCTCACACACCATCTTTCACTACAACTCATTTTTTCAATTGTTAGGAATAGTTATCAGTAGTTTATGAGTGGTGTTTTTTTGGTGTTGTTGCAATATGTTCTTATTGCAGCAGATTATTTACAAAAAATATTTTAAATTGAACCTAGATATTTTGATGCCAATTAGTTTTCAAAAACTAACTTCACTAAAAGTGAAACATTTGTAAGTTTAAATTCAATAATATTCCAAACAAAAATTCACCATCTTTTATTTGAAAACATCTGGTTTGTGTCCAATGATATGCAAACTCTTTTTTCCCTGCTTCCCAAGGAACTGAAATTTCTATTGGTGGCCAAAGAAAAAAGAGAATAACATGATTGTCTTTGTAATGATACTGGCAATGACCATTTCTTACAGCATTCTTAAATAATTATTCTTAATATTCTCTTAAATAATTCACAAATGTCCATAAACTGATATCACAATTATAATTATAACTGTAGTGAGGTAATTTTACAGAGAAATGCTTTAGTTCAAACACTTTCCATCAAGAAAAAGGAAATATCATTTAATATATTTGAGACTTGATTATTTAAGAATAATTAAATATCTCTGGTTAAATTCACCACAAGAGATTTAATTTCTTAAAGACGAATTTATAGACTGGACTTGAAAAACGGCTTCATATATTTATGAAAAGATGAATTAACAGGTATTGAATTCAATGGACTTTTTAGAGCCTCTTCGAATAACCTTTCGTACACCTGGCCATCCCAAGCACCTAAAGCAGATGAGAGAATCTCATCACATAGGTCAAATCCATCAACTATGCCAACAGCATTTGGACGGAGTCTTTCCAGAAGAATTTCCAACCACAATTGGATGCCTTCAATATCTTCTGGAGTGATAAATGAATACTGCAATTAAAGATGTTATTAACTTTAAAAACATATTGATTATAATTAGACAAATATTACGGAAGTGATAAATCACACAATAAGTCAAAATGTATGATAATTTTATTGTATTATTCATGAGAAAATTTCAAATTTGAACATTTTTTTAAACAACCTCCCTAAAGAAATGCAAATTATAAATTTATTTACCTGCAAAAAGTCACCAGACTTTTTGAGCAACCAATAGACTGCATAGAGCTCACATAACTGTGTCAAAACAGCTCTCAGAGGGGGTGACACAGTCAGTGCTTCCACGCTTTCCACAAACTTCTCTACAATAAAGGCACGACAATGTGCCTAAGGAAGAGAATAAATTAATCAGACAATAAAATAAAGAAATAACAATCGTCCATATTTCATTAATTAATATCACATTATTATGGTTGTCATTAAAAGCAATAAAATGTTTTCTTTTGTCATACTTCAGAACAATGGGCAAGTTCAATTGAAGTCATATTCCAAGCATCTTCTTGGCTATAACCATTTCTAACTCTCCTGTCCATATTCTGAGCACTGGTTCTAATTTTTCTACAACACACAATGCAAAAATGAGTGACATGAATATGCAATATATTTAAACCTTCAATTCATTACAAGCAAGCATTACTTACCCTGCAGCTACTTGTTTAAAAGCTTTAATTACATGGCCTAAGGTGTTCTCCCACTTCTCATCAGTTTTGATTCCTGCTGTTTTCAGGTAAGAAACTGTAGGAGTTAGTGGTTCACCTCGAGAAACCTGTTCCCAAGCTTTCATAAGGTACCTGAAGAAAAGAGAAAGCGATAGAGGTATTATTACAGTAAAACAAACTATGGAATTTTTTTGTAGGTCATTTTGTGCTTTGTCACAGGAACCTCCTAACAATTGCTAAATCAATAGGAAAGTTAAATTTTTATCAAATGTGGTTCTGAAAAATATCATTGGGGGTTTAGGTATTATTGAATAATAAATGAAATAAGTTTCCTTTACTATCCTTTTTAATGCCACTCGTTAAATAAAAATTATTTGAGTACTACCACTTATCAATTGAATCATTTAGGTACAAGAATTTATTTTCTTTTAAATTCTCATTACTTATTCCCAATTCAAGATGAGTTTCCAATATTCAATTGCAAAAAACAAATAAAAAAATTATATACAACTTGTTTTATTTCATGATTGTTACTGTTGTTACTAAATAATAACTCATTACTTATAATGAAAAAAATTTACTTGCCTAGCAGTTTGAAGCAGCATAACAGTATTTTCACCTTCATAAGTGCAGGTTGCTGTTATCAAGCCATAAGTGCTTGGCAAATTGCTACAAGTCATATATCCATGTCCACCACAAGCCAATCGACAAGTTTCCACACCTGCAGTACCATCTGCAGTACATACTGCTTTCAAACAACAGGAGATGGCATGGAGCTGATAACAAATTATTTTTATTGAATAAAGACTGAAAAATGAGGTATTCGAGACATTCTGATCATTATTTAATCATTCACACAAACTTACTTCAGGAAGATGTTCAAAATTTTTTTCATCTAATTCTTCTGCAACATTATTATACATATCCCATAGCCATGCAGCAGAAAACTTAAAAGCAAAGCAGGCAGCAATATTTGGAAGCAATTTGAATTGCTGAGTTTTATACTCTATAATTTGAGGTTCTGGTTGACTAAAAAAAAAAAAAAAAGTGGTATGTATTTATGTTTTTCAAAATTAATATTCTTTACTTGGTTAAAAAAAATCTTACCCGGGTTTTAATTCCGACTGTCTTCGAACAGCACTGTATCTTGTAGCAATTGTCACAGCTTTACACAAATATGATGCTACATCTTGAATAAGAACTACTCGTACAAAAACCATAGTACCATAGGCCAATTTATCCCTAGGTGATTTGACATATGTTCCATCCTGAAATACAATTATGCAAAATGATGCTAACATAAGAAGTGAGATTCATAATAATATTTCACAATCGTGTATCATTTGTATTACCTCCAAAACTTGGGCATTTTTCATTAGCATGTTTTCACGAGGAATTCGTACATGATCAAAACCCAAATATCCATTGTTTGTTGCGTTCATTCCTAATTTTGTTCCGATTTCACCGACTTTTACACCTGCAAACACGCCCAGCAAATTGTTAAAAAATGTTGCTATACCACAAATAGAAGATAAATCCACCAAAAATATTATACCATAAAAATTGAATTGTTTTAAAACTTGCCAGGCATTGGTTTGTGACTTTTCTCATCACGAATTTGCACAATGAAGGGATGAATTCCATGGCTTTTACCTTGCGTATGAAGCTGAGCAACAACTACAGCATAATTTGCTGTGTGACCCACTAATGAAAGAAATAACATCATTGCATGTAGTACAGAATATTGTAAACCTACTTAAATAATGAATTACCAGCAAAATCAATGTGTCAAATTAAATATTATTAGAACAATTTAAAAATCATTTGATACTTACAACCACCGGGCCACCATTTGTATGAGGTGAGAGTTGGACTATTTATTATAAATTCCTGTGTTCGAGGATCATAATGAGCTGTTGTTTCAAGACCTCTGACAAAAGTTCCATGTCCTAATTCGGTCTGCAAATATGCACAATTCAAATTACAATTCTAAATTTTCTTAGGGTAAACAAAATAAAAAGAAACTTTATTAATAAAAAAATAAGTTACCTGAGCATATGTTCCAATCATGTCAAGATTCCAGGCTCTTCCAATCCAATGAATTTGTTGTTCATAATTTCCTTGCCCCATTATTGTGGGTATAAACATGACATAGTGAAGAGTGAAAGGATTACCATCTTTTAAAATTGCACTTCCCAAAGTTCCACCCAAAACTTGCCTGAATGAATTATAGAAAACAGATAAAAGAATTAATATTTTATTATTTACATATTTTTTTTTTTTTCATTATTACTATTGTTTGTATAGCTATCTAAGGTCTAAATTTTGGGGACATGCCAATTTTTAACTAGTTTATCATAGGCATTACTAACTCAGATGTCCTTATTTTGTCTTTTCCTTGTATTGTGAGTAATTATTTCATTTTATGCATTTAATATTTTCATAAAATGGGACTCAAATAAATAAAATTGTAATGAAGATGGTAACAGTTATTTCTTTCGATTTTAAAATATAGCATACACGATATTAGGTGAAGTATTGGCACAATATAGGGTAGGGTCCAAAATTTACTAATTATTCACATTTTAATATTGAGTGATGGGATTTGAAAAATATTTCTGGAGTGCAAAATTAGTACAAATAAATAGACTGCCACTCAAGTAGTTTTATGGAATTTTGACGCCTTTTTTTGATATTTTGTAGGTCAATAAATATGGACCCCAATTATAACAATTACCATCTTTTAAAACATGAAAATTATCGTACCGATAACCCTCCATTGCAGAACCTTCTCCTTGCATTTGTTTGACTTTTGTAAACAAATAACAGGCTTTTTTCACGGCATTTTCGTATTTTTCTTTGTGACTTAAATATTCTGCTGGCACCGTATCTTTCAAATTGGGATCCGAAAGAAAAAATTTCTCTGCAAAATATTAAAACTCATTCTTTTATTTATCTCAAGATGAGAAAAAATAATTCAATAATTCAAAATACGTGTAAATACCTCGATCTCTTCTTTCTTTCGTTTTTTCTTCTCCGCCATCGAGAAGATACGTTAGTTCAGTAGGATCAAAGGTACAATTTCTTCTTTCTCTTGCCAAATCTTCATTAACTTTTCGCAATGACATTGTGACGTGGTGGAAACTTCGTGTCCGCACTCCTCCAACAACTCGATAAGACTGAAAACTGGTCGGAGTGGTTCGTCAGTGGTGTTTAACCTTCCGTTCCACTGCTGCCGTCACTATCTCTGTTAAAATTCTCGCATCATTCTGCTCGCATCAACACTGCTAAGTAAACTTTGTCCTCAACATCTCAGTTATATAATGATCTTCACAGGAGGTGATAAAAAGATATTTCCGACCTTTTTGATTTCTGATTTACTTCATGCAGTAGGTCACTGTAAATACATCACGAATGTAGGTCCCGTACAGCTCGCACTGTATCAATGACGATCAAGTCAACAATGTTGATCAACGTCAAAGATTCGAGATCAAGCAAGGTTAATTATGTGAAACAAAACAGACTCGTAAACCGCATAATTAACTGGAAGGAATAACTAGCCAAGTCAGAGACCCTTTTCATTTCAACAAAATAAACAAGATTGCATTTGTTTAATTAATTAGCCCGAAACCTGCTCTTGTAAATATTGTCATAAAGCAAGCCGCGCGAGAGTCAAATTGCGCATTTGCGACTGCGAAAGTAGGTTTCGATGAATTCACTGCATATGGTAACCAACCTATATATAAAGATATAATGGGATGCTCCATATCATTTAGCCAACAAAATCTTGGCTCAATGAACTTCCTGAGATAAATGATGCGAGAATATTTCGAAAATGAGTAACAATGGTTTTTAATGCCCTAAGGTGCGATGCAAATCTAGTAAGTCCAAAAACTTAGTCTTTGTATCTTATATTGTTAATTTAAAATATTGTTGTTAGAACTAGACGAAAGAAATTGAGCAGGTTAGGTTCGTCACAATTTATGACTTGTTTGTGTTCCCTATCACACGTAATTCGAGAGTACAGCAAATCGAAGATGCGCCACTGCGCCATTAGCTCCTGTTGCGCCATCTATTCATAGCACAATGAAGCTAAGAGGAAAATGGTACCATGAGATACATATTTCGTTGCCCAGTTTTAGTGGGAAATGAAAGAAATTCATCACGACTCTTGAGGGTAAAAATGAGTTGACATTATGAAGAAGTCTTATAATCCGGTTACGGATGTGAGAAATGAAAATGTTGAGGGCACACGGCGGCTCTACAGGTATGATATCAGGATTGCGTTTCAAAGCGAGGTTATGACGTATTTTCAAGGTTGTGATTACCCCGTGGCTTAAAATCGGGATTTGAGTTTGGCATTTCGAATGCTTTCAAAAATATGTAATGCAGAATTTTGGCCACTAACTGTCGCAGTCCTCACTTTGGAATTGACATAGCAATGCTCTAACACAACTGTTAAAATTATTACAGTAGCATGGATGAGATTGTGCAAGATTGTGATTTTTTTTGTAAGCTTTTGCATTTTATTTCTCATTGTATTCCAGGGCTATATCGGATATAGCAAGAAATTTAGATGAAGGCAGAGACAGAGCCCAATCATGTACTGAACTGTTTCTACCAAATGCTGAAACACAACGATTGAAGCTACGAGACTACTGCGAGAGGCTGATTTTTTCAGACCCCCTTGGCTTTGGGCGCAAAGGTGAAGAACTTCTGTGGAGAAAAGGCTACTACGATGTAGTGACAACAGCAAAACGACTCAGAAAGGTCTGAAAATTATTATTTCAATGCATTTTTATTGTAGTTATAGGAAACTTTGCTATCTAAAATGGATACAGTTTGTGAGTGAACCTGTGTAAAAATATCATAAAAATTCATTTGCAGAATAATGTGTGGAGCCAAGATGAAGAAGCACATTTACAGCGTCATCTTTATGCTGGTGTGGGGCACTACCATCACATAATATTTCGTCTTCAGATTGATTTTAAGTTAGATTTACGAGGAAATGTTGATTTCCCTCTTTTAGTAAATGACGGTGGATTAACAAAAGGTATTGTGTTTTTGTGACAAAGGTATATTATTAAGTTTTAGCTAGATTATTATTATAATTTTTGCCAATTCATAAATATTTTTATTTTAGGCAAGTTGGGATCATCCCGATGCCAGGAAGAAGGCGTTTCAGAATGGGCACACCAAGCTTTACATCGAAGCTTGGTTTTCTTGGGTGATTTAAGTCGATACCTTTTGGAATTGCATCCTGAATGGGATTCTGGGCTTCCGCAACGTTACTATTTGCAGGTAACTGCTTGCAGAAAAATAAATTGTATTTGTAGTTCTGATGCTCTATAATGATGGAAATATTAAATGAGGTGGATGATTAAATAGGATAATTAAATAAGGATGATAGAGATGAACTACTAATTCTTTATTTAATTTTAGTATTATAGTATTTAGTATTTTATTTCTTTTTGCAGAATTTATCAATCTGCATGGTTTTAGTGTCCTTCCAATTGTTTTGTGTTAATTTAAAAACATTTGTTGTAGATGATTTTGACCAAAATCCAATATTTAGTAGAAATTAAAAAATTAATAATTGTTTTTCCAAATTTTCAGTTGCTCCCATGCAAATCAATTTATTTATAAATATGTTAAAAATTACTGAATGTTATTGATAACAATTTTTTTGAATGAACGATTATTCCTTTTTGTATTAATTTTCCCTTTCTCAATAAAAGTGTCAATTGTGAATACAACTTGATAAAAATAGTTTTCTCTAATCTAGACTTATTTGTGGAAAACCATGTTATGTCATATAACAAGTAAACTGAAATGGCATATTATTATTTAATGAACATACTTAACTAGAATATTTATTGCTTATTATGTTATAGGCCATAAGTTTGAATTCTGATATGGGAATGCCTCATAACCAATTAGGTACTTTATCTGGATCTCAGAATTACAGTGTCGATGCTGCATATCATTACATGCGATGGTGAGTAATTATCTGAAATTATTTAGTGGTGCATAAGAAAATGTGACTGTAAAATTGTCCATTGCTAATTGAAATTTGTAGGATATTTACTTTTGTACAAACATTTTTATTGAAGATTGCTACATTTACAGCAACATTTCAGGAATTATACCTATCAGGCTGTAAAGATAACAACAAATCATTTACAATAAACTGCATTATATATGTTAAAAATTATGAGCATGCATCATAAGAAGTCATTAATAGCTGACTTTCAAATTTTGCATAGTAGAGGGGGCGAACCCCCTCCACTGATGTTTCATTCTTGTTCTGCCCCTCCCTTTTCCTCTCCATTTGAATTTCAAGTAAGTTTAATGAACTCCACACCAGCCACAAATGACCTTTCAATATTTTATGTGGGTATAAAACGTTTGTATTACTTTTACTCAACTTTTTGTGTTGTGATTTCTAGTATACAAAATATGAAGGCCACCCATTGGTGATTTTTTTATGCTGCATATTTGTAATTTGTGGCACCTATAATGCAGCTTATCGTAAATGTTTTATTATGTTTACAGCCTGATGTGATTAAAATGAAATTCCCAAAACACCACTGCTAATGTAGTGATCTTCAATAAAAAATTTAATTTAATACGTTCAAGAAATATTAATGACGATTTTAATCTGATAAATAGGTAATTATTATGTGTCTGCCTTGAATAGTAAGAGACAAAAAAATATTGGAAGTAAGTGTTTTTAGATTGTTGAGTGTAATTGGATGATTCTTTTTGGCTAGAACTAATTTTAAATTTTCTGTGACCGACTTTATTTATAATATTAATTAACAGAATGTTGAGTTTCACCCTTATCTTTATCTTAATTTTGCAAATGTAAAATGTTTCTGTTTGCAAATGGTATTATACTCTGATTTAAACAGAGCGGCACTTCATAGTCACCAACCAGATAGAGGGGGACACTGCCATCTAATCGGAAGCATTGTTACTACTAAAAGTTTTGGTATAGATGCTCCTGATTGAATGACCATGTCACCCCCCCTCCAGCTCACGACCTTGAAGAGTCAGTGTGTTTCAATAAGATTACAAAAATATTTTAACAAATACTGTTTCTTCTGATAATGGCTATATTATGTCTCAGCCAAGCACTTAAACTTATTATTTGATTCCATTTGATCTTCACTCCGTTATTAGAGAACAAATGAATGTTATAGAGAACAAATGAATGTCAATGTATAAATGTGCATTTGTACACATGTTTATATTCCGGGAACTTTGACAATTGACAGTTGAGCAGTGCCTCTATGTTCCTATGTCAGTGGCAAGTACTGTGTTATTTGGGTACGAATTAATACAGCCCCTATTGGTCTGTGATGCTGATGGATTGTAAACAGTCTTAGAACTGCGTTGATGAGTGTCTCAGATGCAAACGAAACAAAAGAGATTATAGACTGTAAACAAAAAAATTTCTGGTGAAGCTGTGTTATTGAACAAGAAACTCTTGTTATAGTGAGTGTTAATGTGTTGAGCAACTTCACACTATGTATCTGTGGTCAGAACAAAGAATGATCTCCCAAAATATTAGGGATTTATTATTTATTCATAGTAAATTGTATTTTGTCTTGTTATTTTCATATAAATTGTAGATTCAGCTTGGGATTTTCGTCCATGTGTATGTGTCACTTAATTCACTGTTTCTTAAAAATATTCCTATATATCATATGTTCATGGGTTCCATTTCAGTTTATCATGTCTTCATTCTTTTGATGGTGCTGAAGGAAATTTGCGCAGAATATTTGAAAGAAATGCCAAGTGGCTTGAACATCACAATCGTTGGAATTTGGATGACAAAGTGGAAGAAATGCCACCCACAGAGCGCATTCATCGATTTATTGCAAGATTTATGGTTGTGGTGGATGTTTGGTTTTTTGACAAAACTTTTCCAGCTAATCCTAGTCAGGTTGGTGGAATCTCTTTTTGAATGTACTCTTGACTTGTCAAAATGTGAGGCAAAGGTACTATAAAGTGAACAAGTAAAGCTATCGTGCCATAATCTGGAAAGAGGCCTCTAGAGCTCAGAGATTGTAAGGGTCTGGGAATTACTAGTGCAAACTAGGAAAAATAAATTCTGAAATATTAAATTTACTATAAATAAAATTGATAATGGAAGGCTATCAAAGGCAAATCATTGTTTCAAATTGTGTTGAACTGTTTTGCAAAATTTTGTAAATGTAACACAATCATTTTAATAAAAATCCAAATACTTGTGTTTTAATTGATGTTTCCATTTCAATCTGTGCCAATAATTGTTTCAAATTAGAAAATACAGAAAATAAGTAATCTTAAATAATTTTGGACGTTTTGGAGGTCCCTAAAACAGTGTTCTTTTCTTCATTGTCTTTAAATGCCCCGTTGTACTTTGATTTTGAAATGGGTTTTTGATGGGTATTTTAGACAAGACCCCTTGAATATATAACCTCAATGCCATTGAAAGGATACCGACTTCAAAACGATAAATTGAAGGAAAATAAAATAATATAAAAAAATTTAACACACATTTAATTCTTTTGATTGGACAATGACATAGTTTCACAAAAATATCCTGTACAAGTCATTGCTGAATTGAGTGAATAAAGTGTATTCGAAATAAATTTTATATGTGCTTCCTTATCTTTGGAAGTCTGTTTTATTTTAAAGAAGTTAAATTAATTTTTTTTAAGTTTAATTCTAAAGTTATAATCTGTTTCTGTTTAAAACTTCTCTAAATTTGGTTTTCATCGATTCAACTTTTAAGTTAATATAATATAGCCATTCTTGCTTTCTTCTTAATGAATGTTTATTGAAGGAAATTAAAATTTTAAATTAAATCTTTATGTAATTTATATTTAATTCTTCAAACTTCAGTTTTGGGTTGGGTCTAATAAAATTTATACATGTTAGGAAAACTTGATTGACTATTCATTAATTTCTCTTTGCAGCTTTGCCAGCAAATGGTTGAAGATCTAAGACATTGTCTCATGTACAGTAAGCGATTTCCTTCTGACAGTCAGTTGTCACCGGAACATCTAGATTTGGATGAACTTTTGAATTTGGATGCAAATTGTGACCATGAGAAGCCAGAATATCTGAAAGATGATCTGGTATTTAAATTAGTGTCCATGTTGCTGTTATGTATATCTCGCTTACAAGCAAAACGTAAGTACAAGAACCATAGCATTGTGATAGATCTAATTTAATTGGTAAGAAATTTTTGTTGAAATTCTGTAAAGTACTCTTACATGTTGAAAGTATGATGTAAATTAATGTGAATTCGTATTCTATTGAATATTGTCATTTTTTTATTACAAAATTAAGCGAAAAGCTATTTTAAGTTGTGTGCAATGTTTGCACTTGTGACATGGTATATTTGACATTGCCTCTCTTGTGAAGTTAAAGTGCTTTGTGATGTGAAAAGAGAAATTTTGAGGTTTTTTCTTACAGGTTGAGTCAGACAATTGTAAGATAATAAATATATACCATTTTATCTATCCGCTTTAAATCTTTAACAGTCTTGTATACTTGTGCATACAGAATAGTATTAAGTTATGTAATAATATAGAAAATGGATCTTCAGATTTTGATGGATATTTTTGACCTCCTGAAACTGCAAAAGAGTGTATTTGTTACAAAATATCAGTCTATCCATCTAACTTTAAACAATAATAGCACCTCAACTGTACATAGGATTTTCTCCAAAATATATATTATCTTGATTGATGGCCAGGTTCTCAAGGCCGTGTGAATTTAAAACAGATATTTTATTTTTTGGGTTACTTCACTTACTTGTCAGGTAATTTCTGAAGTTTTCTAAAAAGTAGCTTCCTATTTTTAGTTGTTTTTCATTAGATTAAATGAATTTTCATTTACTTCATGTCAGTTACGCTTCTTGGGTATTAGAAAGTTGGCAATGTTAAAAATTTATTTTAGCAGCTAAAATATGTATAAGAACAATGTTTGTGTAGAAGGTAAGCTTATTGCCTTGGAAACTGAAGCATTGGTGTTCAAATCCCAGCTGAGGCAAATGTTTTTTTCTTTGAACCTAATGTTCAAATGAAATTTAATAGTAGACGTCTACTTTTTCTCATCTATTTGGCTTCTATTTGTTGAAAAATTTTGCATTAAATATTTGTACCTGCAGACATTGCGAATTATATTCAGAATCTTATTTGTAAGTAGTGTTCGTGTAGTTAGTGCCATACACAGATGTCAAATTCACAGTGACTCTCAACAGTAGTAATACAAATGATTTTGAATCGTGGATTGGAACATAATTGTAATGATGAGGATGTCAGTTTTCTTTCTGGTCTGTTGACTAGTTTGAGCAATCAAAAAGATAGCACAGAGAAATAGTGTTTTTATTACCCTTAAGTAAAGTTTTTATTACATTTAGAATGGTGTGAAATTGATGAATAATCTGAATTACATGTGTTCAAGAATATCACTAAAATAAAATTTCCTATAATAGAGATTCAACTGACCTACACTCTTTTTCATTATTTTTTTAACACAGTGTATTTCTCAAAATCAAGCCAGAAACAAATCTATAAGCAAAGGAAACTATTTCTGAATTTCAACATAATGTGATAATTATAGTGAGTAGTAGTATTAGCGGCAGTAATAGTGTTACTGTTAGCTTATTGGACTATTATACCGAAGTTGGCAGGTTCAAACTTGATTGAAGGCGTGGATTTTTAAGGGCGAAAAAATCCTTTGAACGCCTTCCTTTGGAGGGGAATTAAAGCCAGCTGTCTCGTGTTAGTAGATTTACTTGCATGTAAAAGATCCTCCAGCCTAAATTATGCCATTGAGCTAAATTCAAATCGCCTGACTCGTCACATAAGAAATACCTCCTTTCTCCGCTAGTTTGTGAAAGGAGCATAACCAAATTTGCGTGGTCAGATGGAAGAGCGGACCTGATGGCCAGAGTCTTGCCACATCAAGGCATTAATTCAATTCAATTCAGTTGTACACCAGTATTGTTGGGTGTTGTATACTTTATTTTTCCCCATAATTTGTCATTGTTCCTATCCGCCAAAATAAAAAAAAAATGAAACAATTTTTTTTGTGTTATTCCATTCTTGCTCCGTATCTTATCATCAAATATGATAAAATTACGTTTATACTTAGTGGAAAGACAATGCTACAAAATGTTATCTCTTTTGAACTGACGTGAATGATAATTACATTTTAAGCAAGTTTTGAATAATTGCTGCATCACCCAGGACACAGAAATTAACCGTGCAACTGAACACTCAGGATGGAATCTGTTAATCAGCATTCACTATCATTTGTCATTTTGTGCAATTTATGACTGTAAGAACAAAACTTAAGATGTGGTTTAATTTCTGCTTCCAAAAATCAGCACAAAGCAAACTCCATTTGGATGCATAGTGAAAATCAATTAATGGTGCTCAACTATCTATAGCAGAGGTGTCTAACACGCAAGGACTCAAGAGCCACAAATAGAAAGGTTTTGGGGTATATTTACAGTATTTGGACCATTAACATCTGACTTTCCCTTATACTTGATATTGATAGATTCCCCGGCTGCTCTGAAATAGGAGAAAGGAATGGAACCATGCATATTATCAGTTCGCACCATACATGACACAAGGAAATACATTGGAATGATTTTGAATTTCTGAATTTAATAGAAAAAATCTTACAAAAAAAACTTCACCTATTTGTACATTAATGGGTTGTAGACCCTGACAAGGGCGTATGCACCAGGCATGCAATGTTCTCGCCCGACACGGATGCAAGGGACACTCTCTTTTGACTAAATTTTTCATGGGCTCAATGAATAGCACACCAAGCCTCATGTAGTCCGCCGGTTGGACAACCCTGGTCTAGAGTGCCATTTCTTGATTTTTACATTTTGTGGTTTGGTTGTGTTTTGCATAAAAGCATCCAATAGAGGGGTAAAGGGATAAATCTTGAGAAAGAAATCTCTGGAATAAAAAGTGGATGTGTAGGACAGATTTCAAAAATAAATTTGAACCACAATAGCTGAAGCATTGTGATCACATTGAACAAAAGGAAGAACTGTAGAGAATTTGCAATAGAGAAGTTCAACCTATGCACACTGGAAAATGGAAATCCCCTCCAGAGTATTGTTTCATGTCTTTCAGTACTTGTTCTCTGAGACTAAAGAAGTGTGAGAATTTTACAGTTCTGGAACAATACAATTACTCTCATCTGTCGACAGAGTTAAATATGTTTCTGAAAATGTTATTGAATTATTTTATATTAGATCCGGTCATGTGTGTTCTAATGAAATATACCGGGAAATTCTGAAATCCACTTTGATTTAAAAATGTAATGCATCACGTATGATAATTTTTCTTGCTCTCAACCATGAAATCTTGAACGCTTTCAACCTTGAAACCAAGCAAAATGATTGATTGAGCTCGCATTAACACAAGACACCTAAACAAACAACACCAGATGAACATTTGTTCTATTCATTTTAAAATATTATTAAAATTTGGTACTTGTTCTACAAAACCAGTTAAAAATAGCAAGCAATAACATATCTGGAGCCTTCTACCGTTCATTTAAAGCATAAATTATGAAATTTGGTTGAGCTCATACTTCTTTCTAAACGAAAATTCTTAAGTGTTCTAAATATAATAATATTTGCCTATTAGAAATGTCAGAGGTTTTAATGAAAATGAGAAGTACACCATACTTAAAAATGTACTTTCTCAATTCATGCAAAAAATTTAAAGAAAAATATGTTCAGCCTTTTTCCAGAAAATATTGAAAATGTTACCAGAGCAAATGGTACCAGAGCACTCCCAAAAATTAAAATATTTTAATGATCTCTGGAACAAGACAACTAGATCTTGTTCATTATGTGTTTACCAAATTTCATTTCTAAAGTTTCTAATATCAGAGTTACTGTGCATCACGTCCATCTACCTATCTAGCCAGCTAGCCATTTGTCAAACCAGACATTCAGATTTTTGTATCCAAAATTGTATGTTACTCCATGCCACTTACACCAATTTTGACCATCTTTGGAACAGCACTAATATCCCTTCAACCTGATGAGTGTATGAAATTACATCTCAAAAGAACCTGAAACAGGAATTTTATGACTGAAAATTTGAGACTGTGTTTTTGACGTGATTTCAATACTTTTCCTCCCTATGCTATCATATGAAGTTAAGTTATTTGCTTGTAGAAAGCCAATTACAATCCCTTTCCAAACAAAGTTCTTCTCTTTTTGTCTTCTTCCTAATGTCACATAACGTTCACCTGTCCTCCCAGTTGCTTGTTCACTCGTCCAGTTCCCAAGTGTATTCCACTTTTTCAAAACAACTAACAGCTGTTTGCACCTCTTGATTAAAAATGATTTTTCTCCATTGTACTGCAGCACCTCTATAGGGAATGGAACTATTGTAATAAAAAATGCAAAATATGTACGAAGTACATTATATTTTTATAGTACTTAATATTTTCTAACAATATATAATATGTAAAATAAAAAGGCGTGATAGTATCTCTTAAGAGCATTTTCAAATTTTTGAACACATTCAGCTATTCAGTCCTTATAATGTATTCGGAGCAACTGAACTTTGCATCTTTATTTATTGGATGTTGTATGCACAAGGCTACATTCAAAAGGTTGTTATTCCTGCAAAAATGTGAAAGTAACAAAATTCATAATTATTTAACGTAATGATTACAATAATAATTATAATAATAGTATTAATTCAGAAGCCTTCCCTGAGGTTAAAAAGGTTTCCGTCCAAAGAGCACTATCAGTTCAAACGTATATGGTACAATGATTAAGAAACTCGCATAACATAACATACAAGTAAACAAACAAAAAACAAAACAAAGAACTACACAATTGTTTGATTAGATTCATTTGATGACTTTCAATGTCCATTTGACTTCTTGTTCTGGATTATTTGGAATTAGCTGTTCCTTCAATTTATTTTTAAAATTTTTAATATTCAATTTAGCAATAAATTCCAATGTTTTCAAATTGACTGGGAGATTATTGAACACTTTCTAACCTATGTAAATATTCGTTCTCCTTCCAATTTTTTTGTTACATTTTGGTATTGAAAATAATTTATGGCATTTGGATTGGGCACTTCATACTGTTTAACCTTATCAATAAAAACTTAATTAAATGAATAAGAAGAGGAAGAGTTCATATTTATTTTGTCAAAAAACCGCTTTTAGCTTTTGTACTATTTTTTAAAAATAGATTTCTTGGAAATTATTGATACACTATTATAAAATTTCCTTGTGTCGCATGAAAATAATTTTTTTGACAGTCCCTAGTAGATGCGATTGTTTTTAGGGGATGTAAAGTGTGCTGAAAGTTAAATTTTTAGCACTAGTGCTAAATGTGACACGATGCTCAAGTGTTCACGTAAAACTGTCAAAGGAATCACAATACTTTTATCTGATCACATCAACTACTACTAAGCTTAATGAAACATAGTGATTTGTATGCTCGAATTAAAAACAAAATGAATGTCAGAAAGGCTGTCTTAATGAATAGTATGCGGTAAAATGATTTTATTTTGCTCTTGGATTTGAACCACTGAGACCATCAGCCTCATGTTGCAACATTTCCTAATTGCAAAATAAAAAGCCACTTACCGTAAATAATGATTATTTTCAATTACGTCCAACTTTTTACAACTTACTTTTTGTATGTGTGAAAGATTATCTAGATAACATTTTTGACTTCTTATTATCTACATTATTGTTACTAAGTCACTTGCACTATTGCATCACAGTACGATCTTCGATATGTGAAACTAGTGTTTGTATTATGTCAAACTTGAAAGATTCAGTCTAAATAATCAAGGGCAGCAATAAAATTAAAATGAATGTGTAAAAGGCACTTGCTGTAACAATAATGCACAGTGAATCTCCAAGATATTTATTGAAAATCAGTGTGAACTTTGAAGTGCGCTTCTTTACCATCAAATGCATAGAGAGATCCATGCAGACCCCAATGAACAAATCAATTATTTATATTGAAACGTGTAATTTATGAATCTATTCCTAATCCTTGTTACAAAAAAAATTGTAACTTTTCAATGTAAAAAAATTGCTGAAATATTTGACAGTTGGATTGTAATAATTTTTGGAATATGAACGTGTTTTCTTGATTAATGTATAAAACATGTAATTAGTAATTTATATTTCTTGTATTTTTTTGATTCCAGGTTCAAAACTACTATCAGGTCTCACAGTTTTTACTCTAGCAATAGTTTCAGAAATAGTTCAACAAGTAATTAATCATATTCAAGATTCAGTACTTACATTGTCCATTCCTTCTCTTGGTGCCCCTTTTACACCCCCTCTTCTAACATCTGAAAATAGTGATCCTTCTGTTGCATCAACTGAATCTAGTGTGTGTGTGTCACTATCATCCTGCCCTACGGTTCCCTTTCCTGAAGAAAGGGTAAAACCCACCCTAGCTGATGAGATTGAAAAAACAGCTGCACCAAAGGAAAATGGTGAAATTTTGCCTTCTGTTAATGGTTCTCTTGAAAATGAAGGAAAAAAGAAAAAGAAGAAAAAGCTGAAGTATTTAAGCAAGTTTCGGCGCCGGAGGCCTAAAATTTCTGTTCAAAACAGCTCTGAAGATTCAGATTATAGTGACGGTAAGTTGAAATGCATAGAATCTGCTGTATTTTGAAATAGCTGTTTCTTATATTTCATTGATTTAAGTTTTTGATGCTTGGGTTCTTATGTGAAACAGGCATGGATCCATGGGGAGGGAAATGAGGGAAATTTCTCCCCCTAAAATATTGCAGTAACTATTAAATTTAACCTGTCATGAAACTTTCAAGCACAATTTTCAGATAATCATTAAAACCGATAAAATCATATCACAGCATGAGCTCAGTGAAGCCTGTGACGTTTCACAAAATCTGTAATGCCACATTCGACCAAACCTTTTGAATTTTCCCTCCCAAAATTTATCTCTGGATCTGCTGTGAGAAGTAACGAAGTTTACCGCTGATTGATATCTTATTCTCTTTTAAAACTTTTTAGTAATAAGCTTAACTTTTGAAGATCAATAACTCTACCTCTTTGAAAATTCAATATTCAATAGTTTTTCCTCTGATTTTGTAAATGAGATTTTATATGAGCATGGATGAAATTTCCTGCAACTCTTCATATTCATTGAAATTCAGGAAATCTACTAATTTTTGCACAAAACAAGTAGAAAAATTATAATGTGAGCTAAATGTCGGGGTTTTCTACAATTTTTATCATGTTCTATTTTTAATGGCAAATTCCTGAAACAAATAGGTACTTCCCAATTAAGCAGAATAGTAAGCATAAAAACTACTTTACCAATTGTTCTTTTAATTTTGTGTACTGTGTTTCCATTCAAATGTTTGCAGTTCTATAGTCATTCAATACTCTATTTTCAATTTTCAATAATTTGCCCTTCAAATCGAAAATTTTTGAAATTCAATTTTTACTTTCCCATATACATACATACATACATACATACATACATACATACATACATACGTAGTAATATATGTAGAATAGGGAAAGTTATGTAATGCTTCAGAAAATCAATTTCCAGATTTCGACGGAAATACTTGTTTTGGGGTCCCCTGAAACGGAAAAAGTGGTTCTTTTCAAAATGCCTGACTGTCTGACCAACTCTGAACACTACTAGCACCTAAATCATGTGTAGGATTTCTTCCCCCTGTCCAACTGGCTCGAGTCAAAGCTTTGAGATTTTAATAAAACAGTCTTTTAAAATTTGGGGATACTTTACATGAAGCCCCCCAGAGGTTTTCAAAATTTTGTCTAAAATGGCTTCAAACTTTTCTTTAAATTTATTGTTGCAATAGAGTAAAACACACTTTTAAAGGTATCATAGGCCCGATTTTCAGGTTTAACTCTGAACAAGAAATTAATATTTCATCGATTAATTTTCGAAAATCAAATTGAAAAATTGAATGCTGGACAAGGTTTTTCTCTTCTTTAATATTTTTAAAGTAATAATTTGATTCTACTATTAAGAAATCGAAAAATTAAGTAAGTAAGTAATGTACTTTTGCTGCGATAGATAGCAGCTGGCAAGAGAATGTGGCAAGCTCAAATAGCTAGTGGAGAAGGAAAAATAGAAAATGAAAATAGAAAACTAATATGTGAAAGTCTGTGTCATTCTGTAGCACCATTAATGTAAAATAATTTGTGTTTTTTTTTTACAGTAAATTTCATTGAATAGTATACTTGTTTAAAAAAAACAACATAAAGGTATATTGTTATTTAGTGCAAAACTGATAAAATTTTAAACTCTTAAGCTATAGGGAAAGTTTTGAAGTTTATAATATAGCTCTAAAATACAACTTTCTTACCTCTTTGCATTGATTGACTACACAATTTCAAGAACCAGAATTTTTATGATACATTTTATGTACTATTTATGTTTTATGTTATTGTTTCAGAACTTATCAGAAGATTACAATTTTATCAGTTGTCCTCAAAATAATTTGTTTTATTGTTTACTGTTTACTTTCAACAGAATTTGTTGTAAAATTAAAAAAATCATCAAAAAAAATTTCAGATGAGTAATTTAACCAAAAAGTTTCGATAATTAGGAAATTAAAAAAAGAAAAATTCTATAAATTTTGGATATGTCCCTAAAAATAGCAAATTGTAGCAACTCTAGAAAACACTGACATTGAACTTGAATATCTATTTTTCTGGTGGTTTTTAGATGAGTACTAGTGAATATGCTGAGTCTCAGTGGAATTAAAGGAGTCAGGGAAAATTACACCAGGTTTTGCATAGTATAACAGTTTTCTACCCAAAATAGTTTCCTAGCCACTTATGTAATGTTATACAATTCAACATTTAGGTTATTATTGCAATGTACTATACAGAATACTGAAACTTCCAGGTGACTTGCCTTATGGGAGTAGTTCCAGCTCAGATGAAGGCAACGATGACATTTCAGAGAATGATGAACATTTAATCTATGATGAAGTTGACGACGATGAAGATGATGAAGATTCTGATACTTCTTCCACTAGCACTCAGGTTGAGTCGAAAGAAACTATTTCTGATGAAAATAAACAGAATGACAAAAAGGAGGTGATAACAAACGGAGAGTGTCAGTCAAAAGATTCTTCACAAGATCTGAGTGAAAAATTACTGGTTAATGGTATCAATGGATGCAGCTCAGAAACAGAAGAAAGTGTGAATGAAATTTCATGCAACTCTCCATGTATTGAAGGTGAGAAAGAAGAAATTAATGTGTCTGGCACTGGCCATCCTAATCATGTGATAGAAAAAGGATTTAAATCAAATGGTCAGATGGACCCTGCTGATATAATAGAATTGGTTGCTGAGGAAGGCTTATTGCAAGTTGTCAAAATTTGTGCGGACTGGCTTCTTGGAGAAAAAGAAGTTCTGAAAGCTTGTGGTCGGAGTTCACCAACACTGTTGAGTCGTATAGTAACCATGCTCAACCTTATCAATATTGATGCTGAAGTTTTGGAGAACAGTTAGTATTATCAAATTTTAAAAAATAGTTTATAAATTTGTTGGCTATATAAACATCTTTTGAGGATTATTTAGGGTTTTTTATTAAATTATTATTTTATTTCAGGGCAAGACAGTGCCAAGTTCTTCAAATTAAAAAATATTTCAGAAATTTTCCAGAAAGTTCCTCTTACAGAGGATGTTAAAATGAAGGGTATTTTGGTCTTAAAAGAAGCTCATGAATTAGTGGATTGGGAATTCTGCAGGAATTACTGTTTACACACCAAAGAGGAGGTATTGTTTGGTACTTGTTTTATTTGAAATCTAAATGTGTAGTCAAGGTATAAATGTAGATCTATGAATGATTTGTTTCTAGGCATTACTGAGAGTCTACAAGTTAGTGAATTTTGGGAAATTTCTTGTTGATATTGAAGATATCAAGATCTGCTATGATGAGAAGAAACATCAATTCTCAATGAAGCAGGAAGCCATAACAGAAGAGACTAACCTTCCAGCAATTAATGTGAGTACATATTTAGAATTTTTTATGTTAATTTATGTGCTTCTGGCTACTTTCTTTAGATATTATTCTTACCATTATCTGAAGAGAATAAATAAATTGATTTTCAATGTTAAAAATTATTTTTGCCATTTTTGAACTATGCAACCTGTATATTAGAGCAATTTCATTACTGGACAGGAACTGCTATGTCTTGTTTACAATATACAAGTAACTTTGTTCATGGTAGAATGGATTCTAGCCTTTAGCGATTTGCTTACTTGGTGTATTGGAGAACTTAAGTACTGAAATGTATGAATAAGCTCTTAGTTACTCTGCTTGGAGATATTTTCTATCTAAATGTACTCATACCATTCCTTTTTCACAAGAAACAAAAATCTTCATTTTTCCTCAGTTTTGTTATGAGCAGGGTATATTCGTGTCACATTTTAGGTGGGAGTGAGGTGGGTTTTAAATTAGTATATCCCTTTCTAAGGTAATGTATTTATTTTTTAAGACAGTGCACCTTTTGATGTCTAGTCACCCACCATATCTGGCTATGATTTATTTCTCGAAGTGCATTCACCATGGTATCCTCCAATTTCCCCATCCATTGTGCCAGGTAGCCCATTGTTTGTTAATCCATATTGGTCATTACACATGCAATTGGACTAGCATAAGTAGTGAGCCCATCACTCTTAGTCCTGTATGAGACAAAGGGAGTAAAGCTACTCGCAGATGGCACTGATCCTGTGGCTTGTAAGCCCTTATACCATGTCCCTGGTCTTATCCCTCTCACACAACTTACTGGGAAAGGGGAAGGTTATTATGATTTGAGATATGATAAAAGTGAGAACCTTGTGTAGTGGAATTGAATGTACAGCTGTATTGTTGAGCACAAATGTCCCACCCTGTTGCACCCAGACTGGCCAGTTAATGCAAGAGAGAGAGGGAGGTTGGAAAGTTGAAGTATGGTGGTTGGAAGAGCCCTACCAAACCACAACATAAGGAAACAATGCCAGAGGAGGGATTTTATCCTGGAGCATTCGAAGTGAGATTGCTAAGGCATAACATGTCTCTCCATGATTTATTTCTTATGTCAAAACCCTCTTCATGAAGTACCATCTAAAATTTGCAAAACTACAAAAAAGTTAATTTTGCTAAATAATGAAGCCAACTAATCATTCCTTTTTTGTGCATGGCGAGAATGTATGATTGTTTTACAAAAAAATCAGTGACCAGATATAAAACTTCAAAGTTTTGCTGCTTTAATCAGAACTTAATAAAAGCATTGTTGCATTAAAATCAAGATGAACCTTGGCAATTAAGTTGGGTGTTAAGTCAGGGATTGAGTTGGAGTACAAACATATTGATTCCCAGACAGTTAACAATGGGGCATTGATTCTCATAATTTAGCAATAAATCCTTATTTGTATTATTTATTTATGTAATATTTTATCTTTTATATAATAATTATCTATTGGTATGTATCTCTCTAATATTTTGTTACAAGGTTTGTGTATCATAACTATCACCGCCTGTGTCGTGAAACGATACGATGCAGAGAGAACAGTTTGTTAGAGGCAACCGTATCGTATAGCTTAAAGTTAAAATCATTCTGCAATTTCTTTCCAAGACTACGATGCATTGAAATAGTTTCGAACAGTAGAGGGGGGTCACGGTACAAAGTAACAGCATGAGGCGAGAACGTGACTTGGGTCATGTGAAGGGTATAGCTATCTTTCTCGCTTAGCTGAAAAAGTTTCTGTTTGATAAGATGCCTTCATGGGAAATTATAATAATCATTTACGAGTATCGTGTTTCTTTCGAGACCGAGTTACTGTGTGCGATGATCCAAAGCCCTTGCCCACACCCGAAAACAAGTCGTGCGACCGGTCGAGCATTCCGTCGTGTTTCCATTCCATCGACATCGCAGGTAGTAGTGCATCATCGATGCTGCCAAATGTCAATGTTAATAACACATCGATCAAAATTCATCGATATTTTTAAACATTAATGACATCGGTAGAGAACATTGACATGAGAACAAACATGACCAAAATTGATCGATGTTTTTAAGCTGGTTTAGTAACATCTAAGATTAAATTCACGCGCAACAAAATTCGACAATAGCTGTGTACATTAATTTGTAATTAAAATTTAACAGAAAACAAATTTTAAAACACTTCTCGTACGAAATAGAGGAAAGACGAAGGAAATTCTAGGGTAACAGGATCGTATCCGACGAGATATTGTCTGCTCGATGAAGGTAGTTCAAATTGTGGTCGTGTGATTCGAAGTTCGAACACAGTGGTACCATCATTTATTATATTTTAACTTTTACAACATTGTGATTCTGGGAATTTTTCATCGACGAATAAAGCGTCGAAAAATAAATAACAGCAAGCACAAATCATCGATGTTCAAAAAGCATCCGACTTCATTACATCGCTATTTAAAACATCGATATTTTATTAGAAACACTGATGTTTTGAAAACCTCGGTATCGATGTCACATCCCTAATCGCAGGTCGGCGGGGTCTGTGATAACTCGTAGCCCATTGGTTTAGCGCCTGTTGTTGACACGTGATGACGCCGCTCGTCTTGTCAGTCCACCTCTCACAGTATACTGCAGTGTGCTGCTAATTTTCATAGCGCTACATCGTGATTTACATTTGTTCAACTGTAGCTGCTCTCTAACGTCATGTTGATTCGTAGGACTATTTTGAAGAGTGTCTCTAGGAAGTAGGATATAAGCACATTCAGCAGCCACCATTGAGAACAAATTTCATTCGTCACCACGTGACTCGCATCGAACGATTCAGTCTTTTGATTACTCACGATAAATTCTGGGGTAATATCGTTTTCCGATGTAATTTTAACGTAACGTTCAAGTTTGCGCTGAGGCTCGAAAGTAGGGTCCCATCAAGACCCACCATAGTGCTTAAATGCGGTGCAAAATGTTTAATTTTAGCACTATCAGGTCTGACGTAGCTTTACTTTATCAATTTACGTCGTTATTGCCTGCGTACTCTTATCAGTATGTTGGGTCAACTTCTTTAGACTTTACTGAAATGTAAAACCTATTGTTGTAATTTGATAATATTTTTTCGCATTTTTTACGCGCAAAATTCAATCAACACACAATTTACAACACATAGAACACAAAGTGTCTGAGGCAGCTAGCTGCTGATGTAAATACCGAATTATATAAATATGGCAGAAATGTACATGCGTTTGTGCAGCTGCGAAATTTGCTTACGTTTTGTAATTCGTAAATAACGCTTGTAAAGCGTGTCACTTCGACATAAAGTGCAGTAAATGCACATCAGGCTAAATACATGAATAAAATAAAGGTGCAATGCCAAGCAATAAACGCCATTGAACATCACGGTAGGGGTACTTAAATTCTCAAAATTATTTTGGTCAATTATTTTCTATTTAAATCGCTGAGATATGTGTAATTTTACGAGGTCTTTGCCCTCAATGTGCACATTTCCTCCACCAGGACTTCGGAGGTCGGGGTCCTAGGCAACTCCGTTGTGTGTATTCAAATGTTCTTCCCAACGTTCGTCACAAACCTCGTCCGCAGCTTGCAATGCTTTCACCAGCGTTCTTCCATAGACCGCAGTCCTTTCTCACTGCATATTTCTTGGTGCGTCATCTTAGATGCGAGTTGGGCGTAATGCCTTTCTTTTTTACTGCGTGTGACCGCTCTTGACTACATTCGCCCAAGTTTCGACCGCAATTATTCTCACTTTTGAAAAGACGCTGGTGCGCTCGACACCCCTTATCCCCCCCCCCTCCGCCTCTTTTCCTCTTTTCTGCTACGCCAACGCCAGTATGCATGCGCGTTGTATTTGAAAGCCGCGGTCTCGGAAATCAAAGTTTTTTTTTCTCTCGCACCGATGAAAAGACCCTCCCCCCACTCTTCATCTCTTTGCCTTCTCCTATCCTCCTCTCGCTTCCTCGCTCTCCTTTTCCTCTCCTCACCGTTTCGCTCTTTCTTTTCGGTCGTACCGCGCGTACAGAAAGCACATACCTTTTATGTTCCCTCTTGACACCACGTCACTGGTCACATCAAAACCGCGCCCATGATTAAAAGAAAACACGATGCTTAGAGAGGGGGCGCCCGTTGTGCCGGCGGAGGGTTGGGGAGGGGAGGGGGCGAGCGAGCCAGCACCGCGGCGCCGAGTGTTGGCCGGAGGAGGAGGAGGAGGAGGAGGAGGAGGAGGAGTGGAGAGGGGGTGGCAGGGGCGAAATAAAGGGAACTGGGAGCGGGATGTTTGAGTTTGCCAAGCACTACAACAAATATTTGCATACGCATGGGTCTGAGCTTCATTATTGCTGTCTGTATGGATTTTTCCCCTTCTCTCGACTCGGCGCGAGCGTGTGGCAGCGGCGGTGCGTGGGCGGAGGCTGAGGGCTCGGTCGTGGTCTCTCGGGGCCCCCCCGCTCCACTCCGTGATTCGCCCTCAGCGCTCGCCCAGCACCGCGCGCAACGCTCGCGCGAGTCGAGGAAGGGGAAAAAATCATACGACAGCAATAATGAACCAACCCATGCGTATGCAAATATTTGTTTGTAGTGCTTTGCAAACTCAAACATCCGCTCACCAGTTCCCTTTAATTGGCCCTGCACGCCTCTCGCTTGTCTCCTCCTCTCCGGCCAAGCAACTCGGCGCGCGGTGCTGGCTCGCTCGCCCCTCCCCTCCCAACCTCGCCGGCACAACGGGCGCCCCCTCTCTAAGCATCGTGTTTTCTTTTAATATGGCGCGGTTTTGATGTGACCAGTGACGTGGTGTAAGAGGGAAATAAAGGTAGTGCTTTCTGTACGCAGCGGTACGGACCGAAAATGAAAGAGCGAAACGGTGAGGAGAGGCAAGGAGAGCGAGGAAAGCGAGTAGGAGGATAGGAAAGGCAAAGAGAATGAAGAGTGGGGGGAGGGTCTTTCATCGGTGCGAGAGCAAAAAAAAAACTTTGATTTCCGAGACGCGGCTTTCAAATACAAGGCGCATCATACTGGCGTTTGGCGTAGCAGAAAAGAGGAAAAGAGGCGGGGGGGGGGGAATAAGGGGTGTCGAGCGCACAGCGTCTTTTCAAAGTGAGAATAATTGCGGGTCGAAACTTGGGGCGAATGTAGTCCAAGAGCGGTCACGAACGCAGTAAAAAAGAAAGGCATTCGCCCAACTCGCATCTAAGATGAACGCACAAAGAAATATGCAGTGAGAAAGGAATGAGGTTTGGAAAGAACGTGGTGAAAGCATTGCAAGCTGCGGAACGAGGTTTGAGCCGAACGTGGGAGAACATTTGAATACCACAAAGAGTTGCCTAGGACTCCCGACCTCCGAAGTCCTGGGTGGAGAAATGTGCAATTGAGGGAAAGACCTCGTAAAAATTACACATATCTCACGATTTAATAGAAAATAATTGACCAAAATAATTTTTGGAGATTAGTACCCTACAGTGATGTTCAATGGCGTTTATTGCTTGGCGTTGCAAACCTTTAACTTTATTCAAAATCTGTATTTAGCCTGATGTGCATTTACTGCACTTTTGCTCGAAGTGACAACGCTTTACAAAGCGTTATTTAGAATTACAAAACGTAGCAATTTCGCAGCTGCACAACGTGTACATTCTGCCATATTTATTAATTGGTATTTTACATCAGGCAGCTAGCTGCTCAGACACTTTGTGTTCTATGTGTTATTGTGTGTTGGATTGAATTTGCGCTACAAAAGCGAAAAAAATATAATCAAATTACAACAATAGTTTTTACATTCAGTAAAGTCAAAGAAGTTGATCAACATAACTGATAGAGAGTAGCAGGCAATAACGACGTAAATTGATTAAGTAAAGACGTCAAGAACTGATAGTGCTAAAATTAAACATTTTGCACCGATTTAAGCACTATGGTGGGTCTTGATGGGACTACTTTCGAGCCTCAGCGCAAACTTGAACGTTACGTGTTAAAATTACAATGGAAAACGATATTACCGCCAGAATTTATTCGTGAGTATCAAAAGATGACATCGTTTCGGATGCGAGTCCGTGTGACGAATGAAATTTCTCTCAATGGGGCCTGCTGAATGTGCTTATATCCTACTTCTAGAGACCTCTTCAAAATAGTCTCGAATCAACATGAGTAGAGAGCAGCTACAGTTGAACAAATGTAAATCACGATGTAGCGGCTATGAAAATTAGCAGCAACACTGCAGTATACTGTGAGAAGGGTGGACTGACAAGACGAGCGGCGTCATCACGTGGTCAAACAGGCGCTAACCAATGGGCTACGAGTATCACAGACCCGCCGACCTGCGATTAGGGTGTACTCGAATCGAGGTTTTCAAAACATCATGGTTTCTAATAAAATATCGATGTTTTTTAAATAGCGATGTAATGAAGTCGGATGCTTTTTGAACTCGATGATTTGTGTTTGCTGTTATTATATTTTTCGACTTTATTCGTCGATGAAAAATTTCCCAGATCAAATGTTGTAAAGTAAAATATAATAAAGATGGTACCATTGTCTGTGTTCGAACTTCGAATCACACGACAACAATTTGAACACTTATCGAGCAGACAATATCTTGTGGAGACGATCCTGTACACTAGAATTTCTTCGTCTTTCCTCTATTCTCTTTCTCTAACGAGAAGTGTTTTATAAATTTGGTTTTCTGTTAAATTTTAAATTACAAATTAATGTACACAGCTATTGTCGATTTTGTTGCGCGTGAATTTAAATCTTAGATGTTATAAACCAGCTTAAAACATGACAATTTTGGTCATGTTTGTTCTCATGTAATGTTCTCTACGATGTCATAATGTTTCAAATATCGATGAATTTTGTCGATGGTGTTATTAACATTGAATTGGGCAGCATCGGATGATGCACTACTACTGCGATGTCGATGGATATGGAAACACGACGGAATGCTCGACGCGTCGCCGACTTGTTTTTTCGGGTGTGGGGCAAGATTTGGGGTCATCGCACACAGTAAACTCGGTCTCGAAAGAAACACGATACTCGTAAATGATTTTATAATTTCCATGAAGGCATCTTATCAACAAGACTTTTTTCAAGCTAAGCGAGAAGATAGCTAAACCTTCACACATGACCAAGTCACGTTTCATTCGGCCTCATCGCTGTTAATTTGTACCGTTGACCCCTCACCTGTTCGAACCTATTTCAATGCATCGGAAGTCTTGGCAGAAATTGCAGAATGATTTTACTTTAAGCTAATAACGAATACAGGTTGCTCAAACTGTTCTCGTCTGCATGTATATTTCACGACACAGGCGGTGATAGTTAATGATACACACACTTGTAAAAAATATTACGAGAGATACATTCCAATGATATAATTATATAAAAGATAAAATATTCATAAATTAAATAATACAAATAAGGATTTATGCTAATTACGAAGAATAAAGCCCATTGTAACTGTTGGGAATCAATATGTTGTACTCCAACTCAATCCCTGACTTAACACCCACTTAATTGCCAAGGTTCATCTTGATTTAATGTGCAGACAATGCTTTTATAGTTCTGCATTAAAGCAGCTAAAACTTTGAAGTTTTCATATCTGGTCACCTGATTTTTTGTAAAAACAATCATACATTCTCGCCATGCGCAAAAAGGAATGATTAGTTTTGCTTCATTTATTTAGCAAAATTAACTTTTTTTGTAGTTTTGCAAATTCTCTAGACGGTATTTCATGAAGAGGGTTTTTGACATAAAGAATAAATCATGGAGAGACCTGTTTGCCTCAATCTCATTCGAATGCTCAGGATAAAATTCCTCCTCTGGGCCATTGTTTCTTATGTTGTGGTTTGGTAGGGCTCTTTCCAACACATACTTCACTTCCACTTCTCATCTCTTTTGATTACTGGGCCAGTCTGGGTGCAACAGGGTGGGACATTTGGTGCTTCAACAATAAGCTGTACTTCAATCCACTTAACAGAGGTTCTCACTTTATCAATTATCTCAAATCAATAATACCTTCCCTTTCCAGTAAGTTGTGTGAGAGGGATAAGACGCAGGGAATGGTATAAGGGCTTACAAGCCACAGGATTCAGTGCCATCTTGCGAGTAAGCTTTACTCCCTTTGTCTCATACAGGACTAAGAGTGATGGCTCACTACTTATGTAGTCAATTGGCATGTGTATGACCAATATGGATTAAAACAATGGGCTACCGGCACAAATGGATGGGGAAATTGGAGGATACATGGTGAATGCACTTCGAAGAAATAAATCATAGGCCAGATATGGTGGGTGACTAGACATCAAAGGTGGCACGTCTTAAAAAATAAAATACATTACCTTAGAAAGGGATTACTAATTTAAAACTCACCTCACTCCCCCTAAATGTGACACGTAATATACCCTGCTCATAAAAATATGAGGAAAATGAAGATGTTTGTTTCTTGTGAAAAAGGAATTGGTATGAGTACATTTAGATGAAAAATCTCCAGCAGAGTAACTAAGAGCTTATTCATAATTTCAGTACTTAAGTTTCCAATACACCAAGTAAGCAATATAGCTTAAAGGCTAGAATCCATTCTACCATGAAACAACGTTACTTGTATTTGTAACAAGACTACGAGTTCCCTGTCCAGTAATGAAATTGTCTAATATACAGGTTGCATAGTCCACATTGGCAAAAATAATTTTTAAATTGAAATCAATTTATTTATTCTCTCAGATAATGTAGACATAATATCTAAAAGAAAGTAGCCAGAAGCACATAAATCACTAAAAAATTCTAAATATCGTACTCAATTAATTGCTGGAAAGGTTAGTCTCTTCTGTTTGGCTTTCCTGTTATTGAGAATTGATGTTTCTTCTATCATAGCAGATCTTGATAATCTCAATATCAACAAGAAATTCCCAATTCACTAACTTGTATGATCTCAGTAATGCTTAGAAACATCATTCAATAGATCTACTTTAATATAATACTTGACTACACTTAAGATTTCAAATAAAACAAGTACCCACCGCCAACACTACCTCCTCTTTTGGTGTGTAAACAGTATTGCCTGAGAAATTCCAATCATAATTCATGAGCTTCTTTTAAGACCGAAATACCTTCTTTTAACATCCTCTGTAAGAGGAACTTTCTGGAAAATTTTTTGAAATATTTTTTAATTTGAAGAATTTATTGGACTGTTTGCCCCTGAATAAAATATAATTTAATAAAAACCTAAATAATCCTCAAAGATGTTTATATAGCACAAATTTATAAACTATTTTTAAATTTTGCTAATACTAATGTTTCTCAAACCCTTTCAGCATCATATTGATAAGGTTGAGCATGGTTACTATACGACTCAACAGTGTTGGTGAACTCCGACACAAGCTTCAGAACTTCTTTTTCTCCAAGAAGCCAGTCCGCACATTTTGACAACTTGCAAAAGCCTTCCTCAGCAACTCAATTCTATTATATTAGCAGGGTCATCTGACATTTGATTTAATCCTTTTTCTATCACATGATTAGGATGGCAGTGCCAGAACCTTAATTTCTTTTTCTCACCTTCAATAGTGGAGATTGAAATGAAATTTCGATTCACACTTGTCTTCTGTTTTCTGAGCTGCATCATTGGATACATTAACTCAGTAATTTTTTCAACTCAGATCCTTGTGAAGAATTTTTTGACGTGACATTTCTCCGTTTGTTATCACCTCCTTTTTGTCATTCGTTTATTTTCATTCAGAATAGTTTTCTTCGACTCAGCTGAGTGCAGTGGCAGAAGTATCAGAATCTTCATCATCTTTCAATCGTCGTCAATCTTCATCATAGATTAAATGTTCATCATCTTCTGAAATGTCATTGTTGCCAATCATCCGGCTGGAATACCCAATAAGGCAAGTCCACTGGAAGATTTTCAGTATTTGTATAGTACAATTGCAAATAATAACCTAAATGTTGAATTGTATAACATTACATAATGGCTAGGAAACTAATTATGGGGTAGGAAACTGTTATACTATGCAAAACTGTGTAATTTTTCCTGACTCCTTAATTCACTGGATCAGTCATATTCATAGTACCATCTAAAACACCAGAAAAATAGGATATTCAAGTTCAATGTCATGGTTTCTAAGAGTTGCTACAATTTGCTATTTTTAGGGACAATCCAAATTTATAGAATTTTTCTTTTTTTTAATTTCCTAATTATTCGAAACTTTGGTTAAATTACTCACTGAAATTTTTTTGAATGATTTTTTTAAATTTTAACAAACAAATTCTGTTGATAAATAAAGTAAACAATAAACAATTATTTTTGAGGACAACTGATAAATTGTAATTCTTCTGAAAGTTCTGAAACAATACATAAACATAAATAGTACATAAAAGTATATAAAATTCTGGTTTTTGAATGTGTAGTCAATCAATGCAAAAGGTAAAGAAGTTGTATTTTTAGAGCTGTATTTAAACTCAAAACTTTCCTATAGCTTAAGAGTTTAAAATTTTTATCAGTTTTGCAAATAAATAACAATATACTTTACAGTTGTTTTTTTTTAAACAAGTATACTATTCAATGAAATTTATGTAAAAAAAGAACACAAATTATTTTACATTAATGGTGCTACCAGAATGACACAGACTTTCACATATTAGTTTTCTAATTTCATTTTCTATTTTTCCTTCTCACTAGTATTGAGCTTGCCACATTCTCTTGCCAGCTCTATCTATCGGAACAAAGTACTTACTTACTTACTAATTTTTCGATTTCTTAAAGTAAGAATCAATTATAATTACTTTAAAATATTAAAGAAGAGAAAAATTGTCAGCATTCAATTTTTCAATTTGATTTTTGAAATTAATCGATGCAATTATTAATTTCTTGTTCGAGTTAAACCTGAAAATGGGCTATGATACTTTAAAGTGTGTTTTACTCTATTGGAACAATAAATTAAAGAAAAGTTTGAAGCCATTTTAAGACAAATTTTGAAACATCTGGGGGTCTGTAAAGTATCCACTTTTTAAAAGACTGTTTTATTAAATTCACTTGACTCGAGCCAGTTGGAAGGGGGATGAAATCCTACCATGATTTAGGTGCTAGTAGTTGTTAGAGTTGGTCAGACAGTCAGGCATTTTGAAAAGACCATTTTTTCGTTTCAGGGGACCCAAACAAGTTAATTTCCGTCGGATCTGGAATTAGATTTTTCTGAAGGCATTACATAACTTTCCTATTCTACATATATTAATACGTATGTCTTATGTTGTATGTATGTATATGGGAAGTAAAAATGAATTTTCAAAAATTTTCGATTGATGGGGGGGGGGGCAAATTATTGAAAATTGAATAAAGTATTGAATGACTATAGAACTGCAAACATTTTGAATGGAAACACAGTAACTAATAAAGGAACAATTGGTAAAGTAGTTTTTAATGCTTACTTATTCTGCTTAATTGGGAAGTACTAGTTTTTTCAGGATTTGCCATTAAAAATGAACAGGTAATTGTAGAAAAACCGACATTTAGCTCACATTAATAATTTTCTACTTGTTTTGTGCAAAAATTGTAGATTGCTGAATTTAATAATATGAAAGAGTTGCAGGAAATTTCATCCATGCCCACATAAAATCTGCATTTACAAATCAATGAGGAACTATTGATATTGATTCTTCAAAGAGGTAAGTTATTGATCTCAAAAGTTACGCTTATTAACTAAAAGTTTTTAAAGAGAATAAGATATCAATCTGCGGTAAACTTTCGTTATTCTCACAGCGATCCAGAGATAATTTTTGGGAGGGAAATTCAAAGGTTTGGTCGATGTGGCATTAACAGGATTTTGTGAAACGTCACAAATCTCACTGAGCTATGCTGTGATATGATTTTATCGGTTTTAATGATTATTTGAAATTTGGCTTGAAGTTATGACAGGTTAAAATTTAATAGTTTACTGCAATATTTTAGGGGGAGAAATTTCCTCATTTCCTCCCATGGATTCCATGCCTGTTTCACATAAGAACCAAGCATCAAAAACTTAAATCAATGAAATATAAGAACAGCTATTTCAAAATACAGAGATTCTATGCATTTAATTCCGTCACTATAATTGAACTTCAGAGCTGTTTTGAACAGAAATTTTAGGCCTCCGGCGCCGGAAAATTGCCTTTAAATATTCAGCTTTTTTTCTTTTCTTTTTTTCTTAATTTTCAAGAGAACCATTAATCAGAAGGCAAAATTTCACGATTTTCCTTTGGTGCAGCTGTTTTTTCAATCTCATCAGCTAGGGTGGGTTTTACCTTTCTTCGGAAAGGGAACGGTAGGGCAGGATGATAGTGAACACACACACACTAGATTCAGTTGTGCACAGAAGGATACTATTTTCAGATGTTAAAGAGGGGGTGTAAAAGGGGACCAGAGAAGGAATGGACAATGTAAGTACTGGAATCTTGAATATGATTAATTACTTGTTGAACTATTTCTGAACTATTGCTAGAGTAAACTGTGAGACCTGTAGAGTTTTGAACCTGGAATCAAAAAAATACAAGAAAATATAAATTACTAATTATATGTTTTATACATTAATCAAGAAACACTTCATATCCAAAAATTATTACAAATCCAACTGTCAAATATTCAGCAATTTTTTAACATTGAAAAGTTACAACTTTTTTTGTAACAAGGATTAGGAATAGATTCATAAATTCACGTTTCAATGATAATAATTGATTTGTTCATTGGGGTCTGCATGGATCTCTCTATGCATTTGATGGTAAAGAGCGACTTCAAGTTCACACTCGATTTTTTCAAATAATATCTTGGGAGAATCACGTGCATTATTGTTACAGCAAGTGCTTTTTACACTTCCATTTAATTTATTGCTGCCTTGATTATTTAGACTGAATCTTTCAAGTTTGACATAATAAACACTAGTTTTCACATATCGAAGATCGTACTGTGATGCAATAGTGCAAAGTGATTAGTACAATAAATGTTTAGATAAATAAGAGTCAAAATGTATCTAGATAAATCTTTCACACATACAATAAGTAAGTTGTAAAAGTTGGAGTAATTGAAATAATCATTATTTACGGTAAGTGGCTTTTTTTATTTGCAATTAGGAAATGTTGCAAATGAGCTGATGGTCTCAGTGGTTTCATTCCCAAGGAGAAGAATAAATCATTTTCCGCATACTATTCATTAGACAGCCTTTTCGACATCATTTGTTTTTAATGGAGCATGACAAATCACTATGTTTCATTAAGCTTAGTAGTAGTTGATGTGATCAGATAAAAGTATTGTGATTCTTTGACAGTTTTAAGTGAAATTGAGCATCGTGTCACATTTAGCCTAGTGTAAAAATTTACTTTCACACACTTTACATCCTAAAAAAATGCATTACTAGGGATGTCAAAAAATTATTTCATGCGACACAAGGAAATTTATAATAGTGTATCCATAATTTCCAAGAAATTATTTTTAAAAATAGTACAAAATCAAAAGCGTTTTTGAAATAATATGGAACTTTCCTCTTCTTATTCATTTTATTAAGTTTTTATTGAATAAAGGTTAACCAGTAGGAAGTGCAATCAAATGCCATAAATTATTTCAATACCAAAATGTAACATCAAAAAAATTGGATAGGAGACGATATTTCATAGGTTAGCAGTGTTCAATAATCTCCCAGTCAATTTGAACATTGGAATTTATTGGCTAAATTGAATATTAAATTTTAAAAATAAATTGAGAATAG